AACCTTGATATAATGCCCCTCCTTTATAGACAGTAATACAACCTTGATATAATGCCCCTCCTTTATAGACAGTAATACAACCTTGATATAATGTCCTTCCTTTAGGTACAATTGTCCTCTTGTTTATCTTTACATTCTATACTGAACATATCTACATAAACATTGTTTTCTTCACAAAAGTGTATCCCTTCATCAAGTACAGTACTTACAGTTGTCAAGACAGAACACAATTAATGACATTTTGAGCACTGTATTGTGATACACTGACATACATTCTAATACACATCAAATGGGAATATCCCTACTCTAGAAATAGGCATCAACACACATAAACATTATTTATGAAAGTACAATAATTATCGTACTATCTATATCGTGAAGCTTAAGGATCCCTGTCCAATTGTAATATGGTTTTGTCGATATACAGTAACCTCCCCTTAACTTCCTTAAGGATCCCTGTCCCATTGTAATATGGTTTTGTCGATATACAGTAACCTTCCCTTAACTTCCATTAAAAAATAACTAGCACAGTTGGGCCAGGACACACTTCCATTGATCAGATAGCTCTATTGGTTAGAGTGATGGTGTAACAATCTGATGTCCAGGGTTCAAATCCGTTCTGGCCCTGCTGAATTCTTACACCCACAACACTGTTGTTTATCTATATTTTGTTTAATCCTTCTTTATCGTTTCTAATAAAATGCCTGCAGGGTATGATTTTCTTTTCAGAAATGATTTGACAAAGTTATAGTCATGTCGGAAAAAACGGTTTCTAAACCTTAGTTACAGCTTATGGCTGTGGTACGTTGATCCTTAATGTAGTTGGCAACTCCATGGTCTCCTGCTGTTTAAAGCTTGTTTCTACTGGCAACTCCATGGTCCCCTGCTGTTTAAAGCTTGTTTCTACTGGCAACTCCATGGTCCCCTGCTGTTTAAAGCTTGTTTCTACTGGCAACTCCATGGTCCCCTGCTGTTTAAAGCTTGTTTCTACTGGCAACTCCATGGTCCCCTGCTGTTTAAAGCTTGTTTCTACTGGCAACTCCATGGTCCCCTGCTGTTTAAAGCTTGTTTCTACTGGCAACTCCATGGTCCCCTGCTGTTTAAAGCTTGTTTCTACTGGTAACTCCATGGTCCCCTGCTGTTTAAAGCTTGTTTCTACTGGTAACTCCATGGTCCCCTGCTGTTTAAAGCTTGTTTCTACTGGTAAATCCATGGTCCCCTGCTGTTTAAAGCTTGTTTCTACTGGTAAATCCATGGTCCCCTGCTGTTTAAAGCTTGTTTCTACTGGTAAATCCATGGTCCCCTGCTGTTTAAAGCTTGTTTCTACTGGTAAATCCATGGTCCCCTGCTGTTTAAAGCTTGTTTCTACTGGTAAATCCATGGTCCCCTGCTGTTTAAAGCTTGTTTCTACTGGTAAATCCATGGTCCCCTGCTGTTTAAAGCTTGTTTCTACTGGTAAATCCATGGTCCCCTGCTGTTTAAAGCTTGTTTCTACTGGTAAATCCATGGTCCCCTGCTGTTTAAAGCTTGTTTCTACTGGTAAATCCATGGTCCCCTGCTGTTTAAAGCTTGTTTCTACTGGTAAATCCATGGTCCCCTGCTGTTTAAAGCTTGTTTCTACTGGTAAATCCATGGTCCCCTGCTGTTTAAAGCTTGTTTCTACTGGTAAATCCATGGTCCCCTGCTGTTTAAAGCTTGTTTCTACTGGTAAATCCATGGTTCCCTGCTGTTTAAAGCTTGTTTCTACTGGTAAATCCATGGTCCCCTGCTGTTTAAAGCTTGTTTCTACTGGCAACTCCATGGTCCCCTGCTGTTTAAAGCTTGTTTCTACTGGTAAATCCATGGGTATAATTCCTGAAGTTTGATGCAACTGTTAACTGACGGATAATAATTTGTGAACCGCTTTGAGACGACCTACGAACTAGGTTGTGATAAACCGGTATATAAGAACCTCAAATTATGATTATTATTATTATCAACTTCAGGTCATTTATTGATCCTTGAATATCTTTATTTTATTTTGAGGGGTATCTTAAAGCTTTATGGCGCTGGTAACTCCAGGGTTTCCTTAAATTGTTGATATCTAACATTTCTGTCTACTTTGCTGTCGTCAAGGTAATTTAAAAAATAATTCATGTCAATTTGTCTAAGTCATCATACCTACTCTATCAAACCAATCAAAATGCTCATCTGTCTTGACTGCAGACCCCTAATCGTTCTATACTTGTCATTCAGCTAGCTTAAACTGAAGGTATTGATAAAGGACAATGACATTGTCAAAACTCATTTCATCTTCAATATGTTATGCCCTGAATATGCTGGAGTAGCTAGCATCTTTGTCATGATACAGGGGCGTTTTCAGGAGACTGTCCAGACCATTTCACAGTAATTTAAATGATGACTAACTTTTCATTTCTTTCCAAAGAAATCGTTGGATGACAATGGGAGAAAAAAGTTTTTCCAACTGTTCAGAATAATTAAAATGATGGATGAACCTTTTATTTTTTTAATTGCCCTCTCAGAAAATATTCAAATATCTGGTCTGTGTTTCAGATCTGCGGCAGTGAATTTTAATGACGGGTAACATTTAAAAATGACATTTCTTAACAAAATTCAAATAATTTTGCTGCACTAAGATGGACTGTTGTCCGATTACATCAGCAGTAATCTCGATGACAAGTACATTTTAAGTTTTATGTTAGCACTGCCGCCACAGATATGGCTGGGGACAGTGTTATTGTTTGCCTTCTCTATTCGTGCTTTCAAATATTTTCAAGATGTTTTTAATTTCGTGAGCTGATTTGAATTTTTATGTTGAGTCTCATTAATCTAGCCACTCGTAATTGGTTTTTTCTCACAATCCATCTGGTGTTTTAGGGGACAGATGGGTCCATAATCCTGGTAATCCAATGATCTAAAGATTTTTGTTGCGCATCGGGGGTTCTTTGATTTTGTGTTAGAGTTATCTCCCTTAAAATGTTTTGAACATTCTATTACCTGAACAGTAAAATTTGGATAAGTCGAAGTCCTTGTAAGCAATAAAAATATTTGACTTGTCCGTTGGTTCGACTCTACCAAGTATAGTGTGGGAGCACTCGAATGATCCAAGATGCATTCCGTTAAGTGTTAGAGTATCGTCAGAATCAAATACTATCAGTAAATCATCGTGTAATCATCATGTTTTCTGCAAAGAAATAGATACTATGTTTTTATAGAAGTTGAATGAATTTTTATTTCTTATAATAGTTTCAAACATCAACAAATTGATACGTGTAGATATATTATCGTTCTTGTTGAAAGTGCATCTGCAACATCATTGCTAACATTGCACATTAGTACACACGCGTACATTAATATTTTTTTCAGTCTAGCCTCTGTCTAGCTATGTCTTTTTGTGTATTAAGTATTTTAAAGATATATGTCACATATTTATAAACTGAAGCAAACTTTCCTTCCATAAGATATAATAAACACTTTTCTTTTAGTGGTGAACTCTTTTCGAAAGGAGGTGTATTTCACTGTGCGGTAGTATTTATCCTTAAATAGGACTTGATATCATAGCCACAAATAAAACTTACAGTTCAGCAAACAATGGTTGCGCTAAAAGTGTACTACAATAATCATGAAAGATTAGGTATTCAGGTTATTTAAGTAAATTTCAATTACTTGAGTATAATTTTTTTTAAAGTTGAACACTGTCCTTTTTCATTGGTGTGTAAGTGCAAACTAAGAGGGCCCCTAATGCACTGATAATAGATTTTAAGTACATAATGACATGTAAGACTTTGCCATTCCTTAGTAATAAGCCGATTTGATAGCTCGTGTATTTACATGTACTATACTTCACTCGTAACCAAATTAGGCCTATCTTATTTATGTCTGTCTTATTTTCGCATGCTTGTGCTCTATTATTTGCACCTGATTTGATTTCTCAGTTTCTGAGATTGTGAGCGAAAAACTCAATCAATTTTCGCAATTCCTTAAGCACCACTGTGATTTCATTACATTGGGGGGTTAGAATAGGTGGGGTTCAAAACAAAGGCCACAGTCTGGTCTTTACATTGCTATTTCCATTGGTTGTTTTTAATGATCCCTTACCACTGTCAAAAACCTGTAGCCATGATCTCTGTTTTAAACTTTAATATGCTGCAATATCCTTTCAATGCGACATTACAGAAATCTTTAGAAATCAAGATAACCTCAAACATATTTTAGCATATGATTTTTAACCCCCTCAATGAATTTTTTGGGACAATTGGTGTGTTCATTTCCTATAGAATGGGTATGGAAAACTGTAAGCCACACAATGTCCATTTCAATTGCTGATACCCTGATAATATTCAGAGTTACTTCCCTTTTTGTACTTAGTTTTGGCTGATTACAACTCCAGTATGTTACTATCTTTATGTTATGCTCTTTAAATTTGCTACCTTAGATATTTAACCTAGAAACCATAACTGAAACTTGACATCACGCTGTGATGATGTGATGGAACTATTTAAAAGGTTCATCTTACATTTATTGTCATTTTAAAGTTAGCCATTACACCACAATTACCAGAACAGGCTGGGTCTGAAGGAGATGAACTTCTATGTCAAGTAGAATTAAGGCTAATGGGAATTATGGGCAGTCAACTGTACAATTTGTATACAAGCTATAAATCAAGGGTTACCAGGTGTGCAGAATGAGCTGTTGTAGGTGAGAAACTGGGTCAACGATATGCTGGGTTATGTTGTTGTTCCTGCTCGTAGTCGGTAAATTAATTAAGTTCAGAGTCAATAAGATCAGTCAATGAAGAACAGTCAATGAAGAACAGTCAATAAGATCAGTCAATGAAGATCAGTCAATAAGATCAGTCAATGAAGATCAGTCAATAAGATCAGTCCATGAAGATCAGTCAATGAAGATCAGTCAATAAGAACAGTCAATGAAGATCAACAGTCAATGAAGATCAGTCAATAAGATCAGTCAATAAGATCAGTCAATGAAGATCATTCAATGACGATCAGTCAATAAGATCAAAATGTATAAGACCAGAATAAGATCAAGGTTAATAAGATCAAAGTCAATAAGATCAGAGTCAGAAAGTGCAGAGTCAGTAAGACCAAAATCAGTAAGATCAGAGTCAGAAAGTTCAGAGTCAGTAAGACCAAAATCAGTTAGATCAGATTTTGGAAGAGTTGAGTACTTTTGATCAGAATCAGTAAGATAAAGAGTAAAAAAGATGAAGCGTCAGTAAGACAAATAGCAGAAAGATTAGACTCAATATAATTAGAGTCAAAAAAATATCAAAAATTAAGACTCATTAGAATAACAATTTGAAAGATTAGAGTCATTCAGGTCAAATTATAAAAAGATGAAAATCAACAAAAATCAAAACATGATTAGAGTCAAAAAGATCAGAATCATGAGTAAGATCAAAATAATAATATTAGAGTAATTAAGATAAGAGCACTACGACAAGTAAGATAAGAAAATAGGACATACAAGATTTTGTGTTTGCCAATGTCTTCCAGAACCTTGCCGCACTAATCTATCAATAGCTACAGTTGGAGGAAACTCTCAAGAGAAACAATAAATTGTCCTGGTTAATGCTCACACTGGTCACCCATCCATTAGATAGGTGAAGCTGTTTGTCCCCTGTCATGTGCAATGGCTCTCTGTGACAAGGTGACAAATGTCAGGGATGTTAGAATCTATCACTCTGGCCTTACAAATTGTCAGGCTTCTAATGGCAATGTCAAGCATGGCCACCACTTCAGTAATGTCATGTGAATCTTGTCTAAACAGGCCAACACTGCTATAAATATAGATCCTGTCTAAACAGGCCACCACTGTTATAATTATAGATTTTGTCTAAACAGGCCACCACTGCTATAAAGTTAGATCTTGTCTAAACAGGCCAAAACTGCTATAATTATAGATCCTGTCTAAACAGGCCAACACTGCTATAAAGGAAGGTCTTGTCTAAACAGGCCAAAACTGCTATAAATATAGATCCTGTTTAAACAGGCCACCACTGCTATAGATATAGATCTTGTCTAAACAGGCCAACACTGCTATAAACATAGATCCTGTCTAAACAGGCCACCACTGCTATAAATATAGATCTTGTCTAAATAGGCCACCACTGCTATAAACATAGATCCTGTCTAAACAGGCCACCACTGCTATAAATATAGATCTTGTCTAAATAGGCCACCACTGCTATAAACATAGATCCTGTCTAAACAGGTCACCACTAATATAAAAGTGGGTCTTGTCTAAACAGGCCACAATTGCTATACATATAGATCCTGTCTAAACAGGCCCCCACTGCTATAAAAGTGGATTTTGTCTAAATAGGCCACCACTGATAAAAAAGTGGATCTTTTCCAAACAGGCCACAACTACTATAAACACAGATCATGTCTAAACAGGACACAACTGCTATAAATATAGATCCTGTCAAAAAAGGCCACCACTGATATAAAAGTGGATCTTGTCTAAACAGGCTACCACTGCTATAAATAAAGATCTTGTCTAAACAGGCCAACACTGCTATAAACATAGATCCTGTCTAAACAGGCCAATACTGATATAAATATAGATCCTGTCTAAATACAACACCACTGCAATAAATATAGATCTTGTCTAAACAGGCCACCACTGATGTAAATATAGATCCTGTCTAAACAGGACACCACTGCTATAAATATAGATCTTGGCTAAACAGGCCACAACTGCTATAAAGGGGGATCTTGTCTAAACAGGCCACAACTGCTATAAACATAGATCCTGTCTAAACAGGTCACTACTGATATAAATATAGATCTTGTCTAAATAGGCCACCACTGCTATTAA